TTTCAGGCTGGTAACCCAGCAGAAGTTGCATTAAGCCAGCTGTCTCATGAACCAACATCTCATCAAAATGCCTAGATCTCAAAATGCAGAACTCCTTCTTCAAGCTGCTATTATTATGCAGATGGCAGCAGCCTCACAGGTTTAGAACTCAAACCAATGAGCCCCCCTAGTGTCCTTGCTAACTCAAACAAGTGGCAGATACCAAAAATGAGTCTATACAGTACCTTTATCTCACACTCTGCCTGACCAGCAAAGTTACAAGCATCTTCCTCTTAATGCAGGGACTGGCTACCTGTGGCTCTTCAGATCTTCTCAGATCTTCTCAGAATGCAACTCCCATCATTGCTGACCATTGCCATACTGGCAGGTTCTTCCCTGGGCAGCTCAGTTGGTACAGCATGAGACTGTTAATCTCAGAGTCATAGGTTTGCGCATTGCGCAAAAGATTCCTGCATTGCAGGGGGTAGAACTAGATGACCCTCGTGGACCCTTCCAACCAGGGCCGTAGCTAGGGGGTGGTGAGGTGGGCCCCCACCAAGAGCGCAGGCGATGGGGGGCACAAAATTGGCTAAAAATATGTCCATACATATAAATCTTGATTATTACCTAATAAGAAATGGTTTTAAATAGAGAGTGAATTGAATGGGTGAAAAGGGGAGGGGTTGGAAAAGAGGCGGAAAGAAGAGCTAATTTGTCTGTGGCTAGGAATTATGGTGCTGGAGGAGACTCTTGAGAGTCCCATGGATTGCAAGAAGATCAAACCTATCCATTCTTAAGGAAATCAGCCCTGGGTGCTGACTGGAAGGACAGATCCTGAAGCTGAGACTCCAATACTTTGGCCACCTCATGAGAAGAGAAGACTCCCTGGAAAAGACCCTGATGTTGGGAAAGATTGAGGGCACAAGGAGAAGGGGACGACAGAGAACGAGATGGTTGGATAGTGTTCTCGAAGTTACCAGCATGAGTTTGACCAAACTGCGGGAGGCAGTGGAAGACAGAAGTGCCTGGCGTGCTCTGGTCCAGGGGGTCATGAAGTCGGACACGACTAAACGACTAAACAACAACAACAGGGGGCGCAATCTGGACGGTTCTGCCAGGGGCGCAAGATCACCTAGCTACGGCTCTGCTTCCAATTCTACAATTCTATGATTTTAACATCTGTAATACCAGGGTGGCTTTTCTTTTAGAAAAGTGAATCAGCCAAAATCATGACTGTCACTTGCTCTCCCCCTCCAGGCTACCCCATAGCACTCTGGAAAATGGAAGCCACCACAACCCCGTGCCTTTTCTACTGGGGATGCAGGTCCCCAACTTTAATTTATATCTCACACCTTTGTTCCAAATAATTATAATAATGCCGTGGGAACCTTATATATTACTTTGCATCCTGCAGAGCATGAAAAGGTTACAAAAACTAAACAACAAATTAATCAAACGTCAAGGGGGAAAGATGCATAGTAGCTGTGGGCATTTGTGTTACCCTTAAAAAAAAAAATCATTTAAAAAGATATGTGGTATTTTTCTGGGCTGAAAACCTACAGTGATTTCTGGTGGAAGCAGAGATGAGCGTCAGTTTTGTGGTGTGCTGCTGCCCTCTGCCTTGAGTCTGGAGAAGAACTGCTCCTCCTGCTCGTGGTGTTCGTGACAAACAGCACCAGGAGCCATTCTTTACAAATCAAATCCCATTTTCATAACTCAGGAATCTAAAGCTGTCATTAGACACATGGGACTGTGAGTAATGCTGAGCTCTGTATCTGTCTATCCGTCTATCTATATAGGACTGTCTTACCGTATCTCAAAATAATATCTACCCAGACATAATAAGCAGGTGCAAGGTATCATTATTGTTCACTGTGCAATGAAAGACTTGCCTGTGCATTCATAACAGAGTCATTCAACACTCCTGCAGCATGTCCTTGCGTCTTGCTACTTGACATCTTTGTTCTTAACTCTAGTTTTCGCCAGTTGCTTTCACCTTTTCGTTTCTGTATTTATTCTCTTCTCCTTGTTCCTTCTTCCCATTGTCCTCTTCCCCCTTCATTTAAATTGTTGCATGCCTGGGTGCCACACCCTCCATCATCCAGCTGGCACATCAGGGAAGGTGCTCTTACATATGAACATGGATCTCCCATGTGTGGAGGATCTGTACACGTGTGCCCTTTCTCATACATGCTGGATGCATGAGTGGTGTGGCACAGCTGCCAGGCACCTCCACGAAAAGCACACACAGTGTTTATCTCTCAGTGCAACAAAAAAGTCCATTGATTCCGGAATCTTAATTTAGAACAATTTAAGAAGAACTCAACATGAACAGATTTCAGAAATAACCACCTGACAAGAGAACAATGGCTGATAAGCTTTTTAAGTGTGGGCACATGTTATAGACTTAAGCACTTATATGTGTATTGTTTTCTGGAGGGGGAAAAAGGAAGTGCTGTGCATTTTTGTTATATTTTAGAAGCATATGGAATTGGGTCCATGAGTTACACATATAAAGACACAAAAATAATTTCATTGGGAAAGAGTTGTTTGTTTTATGCTCATGGAAGAGGCATGTGAATAATCAAGTATCACACTTTTAAATACACTGTACAAAATGGACAAAGGCACACTCCTCCATTGTCCCCCAAGACTGACGGATGCCAACCAACCAACAAAATGGACAAAGGATATGGAATTAATATCCTTTTGTTGCTTTTATTTTGGGGAGTCATGCAACAAAATATACTCCAGGGAACTAAGTTTTATTTGAAAATCAAACCCAATAGCCCCAAATCAGTCCATATTTATACTCAGCAAAACAATACATTTCTGTCCCTGTTGTAAACACACTTTTCATAAATAGTGTTGAAACCAACAAATGTCATATAGATACATGCAAATTAAGATCACAAGCATAATTTGTTTCAGCACATCACTTAAAAAAAAAATCTTACAAAAAACGGTCCATTTATGTTATCTAGCAGAAGTGATTTTCTCTTCCATAATGATGAGAATTTTTATATTCTTCATTATGCATACAGATGATATTAAAAGTTGTGCTTTAAAGACTTAGGTAGCATGTTCCAATTAAAAATATATGGATCGATGAAAGCATGCAATACTTGAATAACTCAGTTTTAAGCCTAAACCATACATGAAGGAGGACCACTTGAGGCTGCAGATGGAGGATAACATTACTGATAAATTCCTGCACCTATATAAAATCTAACATATATGAGGTATTGGTTCTAACCTACACAGAGGAGCCTTCAGAAATGTGATCCCCCCCCCAACAATATATAATAAAGCAAATATATCTTTTAATGAATTGTGGGTGTTTTGTAGGAATCTGTCAATGGTATAATGTGTCTGTGTTTTGTTTTGTTTTGTTTTGTTTTGTTTTTTGTTTTAAATGTGTTGTAAGTCACTTGGAGAACTTTGGGTAACAAGCAATCAACAAGTCTAAAAAAATATTTTTAGTTTCTTGGAGTTTGTTTCATTTTGTCCACCTTGTGTGACTGCAGGATTTAACATAGTTACTGAAAGGAACATTTAAAAAAAATGTTGCTAAACTACAGCAGATGCAAGCTAATGGAGAAGGGCGTCGTGGCATCCATCAGAATTCTGAACTACCTAATGAAGCAATCCACCCTGCTGTGCAGATTCCTCCACAGATTTCTTCCTTAGAGCACTACGATTAAAAGCTGTTATTTTATGCCACGTTCAAGGGAAAGATGTGTAGGTTGCAGGTGAAATGAGAGGTGCACTTGTACAAAGGGCTTTACTGCATTTAATGAGATAAGCTAACAGACAGAGCCGAATTCACATGTGATGTCAAGGCAGAGTTGGTTTGGCCAGTTACTAAGAAAAGTATCAGTTCCAGAAGGTGCAGCTTCTAGCAGGTCATGCTACAATGGATATTGTTTTGCAGATTAAATAATAAATGCAGCTTCATTCATCCCTTGTGGTATCTCCAATGACCTCCTACAAAACGTAACAGACCAACTTCACACTTTGAATTTAAACCAATTCAGCGCTATAAAATATTAATATTTTTCAATAACAAAAAACCATTAGCGTCACACAATGGAAACTTTCCTGCGGCATGTCTGATGAGGAATGAGAGGGAAGTTATCTAGTAACCAAGGCATGCATCCACCCATCTTCCATGCTTGCTTTTGGGTCATTGATCACATCAGTATTCTCCTTCTTGGATACAAAGGCTTGGGGGCAGTGATTTCCGCCCTTTCCTGTGTTCATCGCAATCAGCTCCACTTCTGTTCTGCTACAGCTCAGCTTCTGCTAAAACCTACATTATTCTCCTCATCCTCCCCAGTGCCTGAAACTAACATAATCAATTATGTAATCAATTGGGTTATTAACTTTGGTTCATTTCGACAGAAGGGAAACATCAACAACAATGCAGAAAATAAAATATTTATGTAACATTCACAGACTTTAAAAAGATAGTGAATATGAGTGGGTTGATCTATCTATCTATCTAGGGGACGCAGGTGGCGCTGTGGCCAAAACCACAGAGCCTAGGGCTTGCCGATCAGAAAGTCGGTGGTTTGAATCCCCACGGCACGGTGAGCTGCCGTTGCTCAGTCCCTGCTCCTGCCAACCTAGCAGTGCGAAAGCACATCAAGTGCAAATAGATAAATAGGTACCGCTCCAGTGGGAAGGTAAATGGTGTCTCCGTGCGCTGCTCTGGTTCGCCAGAAGTGGCTTTGTCTTGCTGGCCACATGACCCAGAAACTGTCTGCTAACAAACGCCGGCTCCCTTGGCCAGTAAAGCGAGATGAGCGCCACAACCCCAGAGTCAGTCACGACTGGACCTAACGGTCAGGGGTCCCTTTACCTCTATCTATCTATCTATCTATCTATCTATCATCTATCTATCATCATCTATCTATCTATCTATCTATCATCTATCTATCTATCTATATCTATCTATCTATCTATCATCTATCTATCTATCATCTATCTATCTATCATCTATCTATCTATCTCTGTGAACATTGCATAGATAATTGCACAATTTCTGTTCCTGACCTTTGATGAGCATGCAAATTGTGGCAATTTCCATTTCCAATTCTGTTTCCAGTAGAATTCTCTGAATCCCTACATGCGGGCGCATTCTGTGAGCAAAGGTTCATTCATACCCCACTGGTGGAAAAAGGATGCAGCTTTTTTCAGTTTTCCCCTTCCCAGTGAAGCCCACCCCCAAAATCTGCTTCGGATGGTTAGGGTACCAACTCTAGGGTGGGGGTGGCAAGAATCACATCCACCAGTGACATCCTTCACCATGTGTCTAGAATGAGTCCTTCTGTTTGCCAAATGGAACTCAGGATCCAAGCCATAGTTCAGCAATTATTCTTCTAAGAAGTATAAAACTTTTAGAACTTAACTTAAAATAAAACCACTCCCTGATGAACAGAGCTACACTTGGATAGACTTTATCTTATATGTGAATGGTTCCCAGTTGCTGTATACAAAGCTGAAGAAAACAGCATTGGAATTATTTACAACCTTTTTTATTGGTGACTGATCTTCATGCTGGAGCTTTTCACAACTTCAGTTCAGCACTTTACTGCAAAACTGGTACTGAAGGAAACAATCCAGGAAATAAGTGTGTACAATGCAGCACAGGATTTCACTAGCCAGCTTTGTTTTTTTCAGTATGCCAAACATATACAGAACTCTGGGGCAAAGGAATCAGGGTGCTCTATATGCCAGCTTTTGGAAACTGAAAAAGCCTTATTCAAGAGCATCTATATTTACTACAAAGCTATGGAAACCAATCTTTCTACCAATAAACAATTCTAATACTCTGTATAGCATTTAACAAGTGTTCAGAGTAATGCATTCACATTATCTGGGTGTGATCCTTACAACAACTCTGTAAGGTAGGTCAATTTTATTATTTCCCATGCTGCAGATGAGAGGACTGAGGCTGAGAGAGAGCAGTTTGCTTAAGACTGCCCCATGAGTTCATGGCAGAGATGGGATTCAAACTGGAAACTTCTTGATCCATAGCTCAGGCTCTTAGCCATAACACTACAGTGGCTCTCAAAATGTCATGCACTTGTGCTAGATAAAATATTCTAAAAATTTATTCCTTTCCACATCCATCTCTTCATTTTCCATCTCATACTGTTTCATAGCGACGAAATACCGGACAAAGGTGTTACCTAGGGCTTCCCGGATGCACTCATCTTCCTGAAGTGCAATGAGAGCATCTTCCAGTTTCAGCGGGATTGTTGCAACTTTGAATTGAGCAGTGCTCTGGATCTCCTCTGATGCCTCCTGGAAACTGAGTCCTCTCCTTATGCCATCCAGACCAGCAGCAATAGTAGCAGACAGAACCAAGTAAGGGTTTGCCATTGCTGAACCTAGCCTGCTTTCAATCCGAGTTCCCTTCTCGCCGTGACTTTTGACGTTAAATGCACAGCTGTTATCATTCCATGCCCACTTCACAGACACCATCTCCTTGGAATCCTTGCGGTACACGTTGTAGCGTTTACGGCAGCCGATGGTTGGAGCCATCAAGCAGCTCAGAGCTGCAGAATGCACCAATAACCCAGCAAGCCAGTTCTTCCCTATGTCGGTGAACTCGGGGGCTCCGGAACCAGAAGAAAACAAATTATTCTCCCCAGTGATATCCCAAAGGCTATGGGAGAGGATGCCCGAGTTGCAAAATCCATTCTCGGTGAAAAAGCTGGCAATGTAATTGTACTTTTTGGCCACTTCTTTAATGCCGGTGCGGAAGGTGAAGGCACTGTCGGCTGCACTGAGGCCAAACTCTGGCTGAAAAGAGATCTCCATTTGGCCAGGTCCTGTGGAAGACGAGAAACTCTCAATGTTCGCCCCGGCGTGATACATCCCGTCAATGAGTTCCTGAATGAAACACTGGTCTTGGTTATTGAGCATGGTTGTAGTGGGGAAAGTGATCGTCTTTGAATTGATGATTTCGGCAATGCCATAAATGCAGAACTCGTAAGTGAAGGCAGAACGCAGGGCAAAGCCGTGGTCTTGGAGTTGCCCCAGCTGTTGTTTGGCAATGTGCCTGGGGGAAGTCAACAAAGGGTTGCCAGTTACAGCGAAGGAATCGCAGATCACTCTAGCAGTGTCTTCAGTCCATGGCAAAACCCGAAACGTTGATAATTCAGGACTCAGGATTATGTCGCAGTTGAAATTGCTGGCGCTTATATGGTTTATTTCATTATCCTTGGGATTCAGAGTCAGTTCAAGGTAACCTCTGGGCATGGCAACACCATGGATTGCTTTGGCCTAAACAGAGGGAAGAAACTTTTAGGATTGTGCTGTAGTCACTTTAACACTGCAATTATAAGGTACAATTATGATTACAACAGTGAGAAATGCTATGCCTGTTTGAGTTCAAATTCTGCGCAAGGGTAGCTGTGTGTCTGATTTTACAGAGGATAGTCCTTTATCTGAAGGACTGTCTGGTGCAAGACCATTTCAAAGATACAGAACCCTAAGAAGGGAGAGCAGGAGCCCTGAAGCAGCCCATCAACAATTAAAAGCACCAGGACAGCAGACTGAGCAGACACAGAATCTTTTCCATTAAACTGAGATTATTTCTAGTTCAGCTATAGTATATTTCTAAATTTGAATCTATACATATAAATTAACACATGCAAATTTTATTCTAATATGCATCTTCTTTTGCCCTTTTAATTCTGATGATGGACTTCCTCTTTCTTGGTGATATGTAAGGGGCCGCACTTCCAAAGCAGCGGTGTCAGCAACTTGTTCCATAAGGGAGTTATGCACTGTATCTCACAAGAGATATATCCAAAGATTTCTAAGTGTCCAATGGGACCTCTAGCATCTTTTCTTTGAACAGGCACACACAGAGCACATTGGAGGTTGCCAATAGGGTTGGGAAATAAAAAGGCCCAGTGAGCATTTTGGTTGTGTGGTTCTCTGGATTGTGGTGTAGTTCACTAACTCTTCAGTGAACTTCCTCTGTGAAAGGTTAGCAACCAGCTGCGTCTCAGGTTGCACCCTGTTTACAACTTCCTCCTACTTCTCACACTTCCCTCTTGGACCTCATGGCTTCCTTGTTCTACTATAGACCAGTTAGCTAGACTAGAACTGGGAACTTTTCTACCCAAGTATCTATTTTCCGTATCTACAAGGTTAGTTTCCTTACATACAAGCGTGTGTGTGTGTGATTGCAACAGAAAACATCTGCTCCAAGGTTCACTCCCTTAATACTAGTTTGCCCTGCATACCCAAAGGGTTTCAACAGGTAATTGGAACAAAATAATCCAACAAATTTGTTAACAGGTGACATTGGCCAACCCGGCAATAGGTGGAATCCAACTGGTGCCCTTGGTTTCAGGGAAGGGCTCGTGATCCTGCAGACACCTTCACCAATGGGAGAAGAGGGGAGGTGATTTGTCTTATTTGTTATTCCCTTTACAGGCCCCCATCTCACATTCCACCCTGTTCTGGGAGGTCCCCCAACACTTGAGGGGAATGAAAGAGGCCATAACCTGAAAGAGGAGGGAATTGAAACATGTTCGAAAATCACCCCAAACCTGTCAAACAACTTGCCAATGTGACAATAAATGAAGGCAGAAAGATAAGAAGATGTGCAGCAGTTCAACAATCAAGGCTAGAAATGTGCAGGTAGAAACAGAACCACCTGGATGGGAGGCAGGAAATCAACTAGTCCTTTGATTCTGCAAAGGGGGAATAGAATTCCTAATAACTGCTTCCCCTCTCTATTAGCAGAGGCATATGCTGGATCAAAAGCTCCTTCCAAGAATCCAACAGCATCCTATATCAGTAACCTGTAATATTGTACATGTAATATTGTACATGTGGTCAGACCCAGTCCTGCACACCTGTACTCGTCTTGCATTCCAACTTTTGTATTATTATTATTATTTTGAAGAACACCAGATGATTTACACTTTCACTTCAACTTTAATTTGAGTTTGGGCTGGGGATATATCAGACAAGTTCAGGTTAATTTGAAAAGGGTGAGCCTGGCTCCCTGCACTTTGAATTGAGTGATGGGTGAAAAGATGGTCCCATTACCCCATCGCCTTTCAAGAGCATTAAATTCCCTGGAAGAGAGTTCATTTCTGCTAATGCCTAAATGGCATCAGTGAAAGAAAATTGGATCTGAGCCCATGGCTTCAAAACTACAGCAAGATCTAAGGACAAAGTTAAGAGAAAATTGCCTTTGGGGCTTCAAAGAAGTTTAGAATGAAAGCAAGGTTTTACTAGATTTCCAGTAATGCCAGTATATATTTTCACTCAATGGAACCTAAAATATTCATGACACAGTTATAGCTAAAATACAGCATATAAACCATCCATGCTGAGTATCACATAAACAGTACACCAAAAGGCCCTTAGAGGTCACCACTTTCTATACAGCTGCTACCAAATGCTTCATAATATGACTCATATTTATTGGAACACCAGCATCACCAATATTATTATTAAGCCGTCATGCATACAACGGCATTTTCTTATCTGATTTAATCGCTGAAAAGGGAATACTTCCAAACTAGAATGATTCCCATGCTATCACTTCAGTGCCTTTTGTAATTTGCTCTTGGCCTCCTCCTGCAATTTGCCGATGTCAAATAAAACAGGATCGTTGTGCATGTTGCAAATGTTTAGAAAAAGAAAGATAAATCTGGGGGAAGGCGAGTCTTGGGTGTGTAAAGAATCAACATTGGCAAGTTCTCTTGATTAGATTTGCATTTCTTCAGGGCTGAGGAATGACCGCTTTGGCAGGGCAGGGGGGCAGCAGGGAGATGAAATAAGCCTTATGGGGTACCAATGGACAAAGGAGGAAATATATGTTGTGTAAGCTGGAATTGTATTGCACATGGCAAAGGGCTGTGGTGTAGCAAGTTGTCTTTTCATGGCCAGGGAACACAGAATACTTGCTACAGGGGATGGATAAACGTACCCGGAAAAAACGAGACGGGATGCTCTTTGATCTTGACACGCCATGAAGGTCGGCTGCTTCAAATCTGACAAAACGTATATTGTCTCTGGACATCTGTTCTTTAATGCGCTCAATCTCAGAGACCAAGTGAAGGGGAATGCTCTTTACACTGGGCTCTCTGCTGTGCTCTAAAAATGAAAATACACTTGATCAGGTCAAAATTTAAATATTTGCCATCAACATGTCCACGCTGGTATATCTTTTCAATGCAGCGCGCGATCCCACACAAAGATCAGTACAGTGGTACCTCTGGTTACAAACTTAATTCGTTTCAGAGGTCCGTTCTTAAGCTGAAACTGTTCTTATCCTGAGGCGTGCTTTCGCTAATAGGGTCTCCCGCTGCGCGTGCACCTCCAGCGAGCGATTTCCGTTCGCATCCAGGAGCAGCTACTTCCGGGTTAGCGGAGCTTGTAACCTGAAGCGTTCGTAACCAGAAGCGTTCGTAACCAGAGGTACAACTGTACACGTAAGCATCTTGATTCTAATGGTGTGAAGCAGAAAAGCCTCTGGTGCAGCATGTCTTAAGGCTCAACAAGATACACTTTGCAAATAATAACTTTGCAATACACCTCGATAACGTCTGTGTATATGCAACGTATAAATGGTGAAACATTTTAGGTGGTAATCAACTGAAGTTTACTCAGAGTAAGCCTATTGAAATTAATGGACCTAGCTTAGTCACGTTCATTCATTTTAATGGGGCTACCCTGAGAAAAATCTAGCTGAATGCACCCCCCGCCAGAGCCCCACAGATTTCAAGCAGGCCTCTGCTGCTCTCAGACAGCTGGTTTTTCACTCATTATTAACAGTTGTAGTCACTAAACTGCCGGAAGCAAATGCAACCAGTTGTCTGAAGGGGTCTAATTATAAAATAGTTTGGATAAGATGCAAAAATCTAGCTTTCTGGATTCCGGGTGGCCACAGATTCAATCATTTGTTAGACTCATTTATTCACATTAGTTCCGCATGATTGATACGTGCTACTTTGGAGCCAATTAAAACTGTCTCCAAATTTTGCCTAATCCACATGCAATCCAAAGTGAATTTGCAGGGTTCCTGCTCAGGCAATATTTCTTTAGGAATTTCATGGGCCTTTATTAAGTTTCAATAATGTTAGCCAGGTGACATGCAGGTGAAGAGCTTGACACAGCCCTGGTTCTCTATTAAATGATGTATTTATTATTACAGTTTATAGCCTCACTTTCTGCATGGAACACCCAAGGCAGAAAGCAATGGATTGGGTGAATCTGAAGGAGCCTGTTCAGGGAAAACTTCTACATGCATTTCATTAAAATTAGCTTTAGAAAGTTCTGCTCAGGAAAGTTCTGCTCATTCCAGTGTGGTATAATGGTTAGAGAGCTGGGCTTGGGTTCAATTTCTCACTCAGCCATGAAGCTCACTGGGGACAATCTGGGTTGGAGCCTTCCTGTGCCCCCTCCCATTAGAGCAGAGCAGGCATAGGCCAGTGTTTCCCAACCTTGGGCCTCCAGCTGTTTTTGAACTACAATTCCCATCATCCCTGACCACTGGTCTTGCTAGCTAGGGATGATGGGAGTTGTAGTCCAAAAACAGCTGGAGGCCCAAGGTTGGGAAACACTGGCATAGGCAAACTCGGCCCTCCAGATGTTTTGGACTAGTAATCAATGGATTCCCATCATCCCTGACCACTGGTCCTGCTAGCTGGGGATCATAGGCCAAAAACATCTGGAGGGGCAAGTTTGCCTATGCCTGGAGTAGGGGATATCTCCATGGTGTCCGTGTTTTTCAAGAGCTATCCTGCAGCTTTCCCCCCTCAGAGTTCATGCTTTCATGATACTTCTGGCTGCTCTCCTTATTGGAGCTACCAAAAATGACATTTTTTTTGCTGAGGTGGGGGGTGGAGTAGAAGCAAGCATTTATCTTTTGGCAAAAATCATCGGGGGGGGGAGGCACTGATAATGACACAACACAGGCACCCACCTTGTTCTCCCCTGCCGAGCCCTAATTACTGAGTTTGAATGGGCTCCTCTGACCCTCCCACTTGTGGCATTTATACACACACACACACACACACACACACACCTTTTTGATGCACAATGTCCTTGTATACCATAAACCACACAAGTCTGTGTTATCCATAAAAACAAGACAAGGCAACACTTCTGTTTAACTGGGAAGACTCCCATCCCTATATGGTGTGCTGCAGGCAAAGTCTTAACTTCCTTACCAGATGTGGGCTCAAATTTAGCTTCTGAAGCACTGCCTGCATTGGGGGAATGTGTCTGTTGCCTCCCAGGAGAATGATCCATATCTTCGCTTTCGGATGGCTGCTTATCCAACCCAGCAGAGCTGTGCACCAGGGGTGGCTTCCCTGCTAGCCCTGCTCCTGGCTTGCGCCCAGAGAGGACTTTCTGATCACCTCCTCTTAAATGAGGGTGAAACATTTCCATGTAGCTCCTTTGATTATCACTAGACTTCAGCGGAAGTGTATGGGAAGAGGGACTTCTGGGTTTGCCACTGTTCCTAACCCTGGTATTCAGCACCGGGCTTTCTCTCAACAGGTTTTTCAACTCTTGCAAAGTTTCTTTGGAAATTCCAGAGCCCAAAGCTAAAGAGACTTTGCTTTCATCTTTTTCCTGGGTTGCTGCATGATGGTCCATGTCCTTTTTCTCAGTCATGTGGAACTTCCACTCCTTCTCTGCTGCGTCAGGTTTCTCTTTATCATTTCCTGGTGTTTTTGCATTCTCCCTGATTTTCGCTGTATTTAGACACACAACTTTCTCTTCTTTGCCATCTAAATCTGTTTTCGGTGCATGGTCTTCATTGCTGAAATTTTCTATTGCCCCATGAGCTTCTGGGCTGCTTTTGTGAGGTTCCTCTGTGCCCTGCTGTGGGTCTTCTGTTGTATGACAATATTTGGGAGGGCTCTCATCTGCTTCCTGCATTGCTGGGAAGCCTGGTGGTTTCTGAAGAAGTTCGTCTGTACATAGCTTGAGGTGAGCAAGCTTTCTTTGATGAGAGAGAGAATCAGAAGTGTTTCCAGGGTGAGAAGTGTCCATAGTTTCACATCCTGTAAGGTTCTGCTCCCCAGTGACTTTGACTCCTCTTTTTCTTCTCAATCCACACATGCAGTTGCCATCAACTTCCTCAGTTTCATTTCCGGCAGTGCTCTGCAATCATCAGCAAATATAAACAATATGCTCTGATCGAATGAAATATGCAGCCCTCTTTAATTCACACTTTATACATTTGACATACTTGCGGAATTGATACATTCCATAAACCCAGGCCCAATGCACATTGTAACATCCACACTGCAAGGGGATTTAGAAAACAACCTAATCAAAGCTCGCTTTTCTGTTAAATGTTTAATAGAATCCAATATATAGATATATCTCATCTTGTTTTCTTATCCTTAATCTGACAGATTGTGGGCACCAGTCAGACAAGAAAGCAGGACACCCAGGGACCTGCCTTAATTATTATTGTTGTTGTTATTATTATTATTATCATTACTATTTGTATACTGCTCTATACCCATAGATCTCAGGGCAGTTCACAACATAAAATTACAATATTAAAAAACCACAAAATACATAACAAAAATAAGAACGGAAACAAACCAATAATCCCCATTCCACAAGACAATTAAAAGGACATTGGATGTCAATCAACCAAAGGCCTGGTTAAAAAGGAACGTTTTCGCCTGGCATCTAAAGATGTATCAGGAAGGCACCAGCCAAACCTCCCTGGTAAGAGCATTCCACAAAGAGGGAGTCACTGCAGAAAGGACCTGTTCTCCTATTGCCACCCTCCAGACCTCTCATGGAGGAGGCACACATAGAAGGGTCTCAGAGGACAATCTCAGGGTCCGGGTAGGTTCATATGGAGAGAGGCGGTCCTTGAGGTATTGTGGTCCTGAGCCATTTAAGGCTTTATAGGTCAAAACCAGCACTTTGAATTAGGCCCAGAAACTAATTGGCAGGCCAGGATTGGTGTAATTTGCTCAAACTGTCTTGTCCCAGTAAGCAACCTGGCTGCTGAATTCTGCACCAGCTGAAGTTTCCGAACCGTCTTCAGAGGCAGCCCTACATATGATGCATTGGAGTAATCTAACCTAGAGGTTACCAGAGCAACAACAACCGTAGTTAGGCTATCCCTGTCCAGATAAGGGTGCAGCTGGGCCACCAGCCAAAGCTGATGGAAGGCTTCCTCTTATTCTAATTAAGTCTCCAATCATTTCTTGATAAAGGAGGTCTGCTAGGAAAGTTTGCTTGTCCAAAAGGTATTTTCTTAAGAACATTGTCTTCTTGAAACTTTAAGTAATCCTGCATTCTGTATACCAAACAGCTAATTGTTCACTCCATCCCAAAGTCTCAATTAAGTTCTTCCTATCAGAAAGCAAGTGGAGTTCCCACAACGGAGCATGAAGAAAAAACTAAATTATACAAAGTATGAATGGAAAACATTCATCAATATTTCATCTCTCCCCAGTGAGATCTTCAGGAAAAGAAAGCTAAAGAGAGAGAGAGAAGAATTACAAGAAAGATAGTTTTACCTTCTCTAAAAACACTGGAAAGCAAAGGATTTAAGAGATGGGAATACTGGGCATTAACAATGTATGGTTTGAGAGGGGTGTGTGTGTTTCAGAGAGTTTAGAATGATCTGATGCTAAGCTGCTCCACAGGGCAGCAGATTGTGGTGCCAAAGTTCTGTGGTGGAAGACTGGGGTGTCTAAGCTGTGGCCCACGTACCCCATCTTCCCTTAGGACTCTAAGACACCCCACATTTTCTTTTTTAAAAACCAAGTTTCAGTTTTAGCATTTTGACTTTTTGTATGGTGGGTAAAGTGTGGGTTAAGTTATTGCAAGTTTAAGTTAAGTCTTCTGCAACTGAATTTCTTATGGACAGCGGAAATCCTGAATGTATTGGATTTGTGACTATTATGCTCATTTGCCTTCAGTAGCAGTAAAGCTCTGCTGGATGAAATACAATTGCCTCTGTTCTATTTTTGGGGAATCCTGTAACGTGTTTAAGTTTTTACTCTGCTAGCTATACATTGGAGTTCTGCTCTGGCTCAATATTGAGTAGAATTCCATGACAGATCCACGCAGATTGTCTGTGTGGATGGCAATCTTAACTGTTGCTGAGAATTTTTTTTTTCTAATACAGCACAGGTTAGGGGTACAATCCAGCATTTTAAGGCCCTGTAGAAGAGTTTAGCAACTGTTTCATCTCTCTCTCACTCAGATCATTAGAAGCTGATGGCCAGGGGCGTCTTACCCATAGAGGCTAGTGGCGTGGGGCGCCAAGTTCTGAAGGGCGCCAGGGAAGAGGCGGAGGCTGGACGCGGCACCTCCCAGCATCAGCTCACCATCTTCGCCCGCTTCCGCGATGCCGCGCCGTAGCAGCGCCGCACCTGGAGCCTCCGTCTGCCTGGTGCCTCCGTCTGCCGTGGCCTCCGCAGCATGAAGCAGCCAGCTGAGCTGGGAGGCACCGCGTCCAGCCTCTGCCTCTTCCCCACTGGAGGAGCCGCCCTCCAGCCGCTGCCTGCCTCCTCCAGCCCCACCAGCAGCGCTGTCCTCCCTAAAAAACTCTGGGAAATGGGGGGGCACAGGACGGAGCTTTGCACCAAGGCGCCGGATATGCTTAAGACAGCCCTGTTGATGGCTTATGCCAGGGGTCTGCAACCCGCGGCTCCGGAGCCGCATGTGGCTCTTTTACACCTTTGCCGCGGCTCCGGGGTGGATACTAGCGAGGGGAGGAGGCGCATTGTGCGCCCCAACGCTCCCCACTGTGGCAGGCACTGTACTGGCTGTGACGTCGCATGGGGGCAGCGCATGCGTTAGTCATGCACCGTCCCGACGTCACCTTCCCGCCTGCTGTCAGATCGCGGCTCCGGAGATATATTTGTTTTAAATGTTGCAATGGTTTTGCGGCTCCCAGGTTTTTTTTTTCTTCAGAAACGGGTCCAAGTGGCTCTTTTTGTCTTAAAGGTTGCAGACCCCTGGCTTATGCCTTAGATTTGTCCACTGAAGCACAGACAGGGTTGATTTAATTGAATTCCCTTCCTGACATGTGTGCTGCACACAAATAGTTAACCTTTCAACTTAGCGCAGACAACTAGCTGACTTTAGAGGGTTTTAGCTCAACATCTAACTTCAAAGGGAAAATGCTGCTGCTTGCTAAGCACACAGTGCATCAAACACCCCAAACTTTGCCTGTCTAGCAGTTCCAGATCCAAGACATAAAGCAATGGTGTTTGGGACTGATTAAGTTCTTACCTAACACTGCATGCTCAGTCTAATTTCTTGAAATCAGTCTTCTGTTTGTTTATTTGTTTGTTTGTTTGTTTGCTTGCCGTTACATCCCAATATTTCCAATGCATTATTTTTCACCAAACAATGCAATGGAGATTCTTTTTCCTCACTACCATTCATAAGCAAAGCATGCACCTAGCACGTTTTGTTTACATCATTCACAACACACATATGTTTTACCTGGCCATTGGCATCTTCTTTGTCCATCTCCTGCACATTTTGGTTCCAGCTCTCATTCAATATGGCTAAGGAAATGCACCCAGTATTTATGGAGGTGTCTACAATGGACCTATCTGCAACAAACATGAGCTAGCACAGAATTTCCAGAAGCTCCTCTCTTCTGAGCCAATGATCAACTGGGGGAAAGAAGCCATAGAAAGGGTTGCAATCAGGAGGGTGCTTTGCTGGAATAGTTTAGAGAGAAAATGTATGTTTGTAGCCAACCAGCTGCCAGGAAACACAAGACAAAGAAAGCATAAAACAGTTTTGTTCAACTATTTTTTCCACAAGCTTTTTGTTTTGTTTTGTATGATGTAATTATTTTGTTGCTATTCTGAAACCCAACCTATTGATGCAATTCTTAGGGCCATTCCAACAGCAAAGTGCTGTTGAACCCAACACAGCAAGAAAGGGTGCAGCACCAAATAGAATCAGCCTTGTGTCTCCCTTGCTAGATGTTGGTGGCCATTGTTTCTCTCGGCTCTTTGTGAAAAGGGTTCAGAATCTTGCTGAATGAACAAATTCGTATTGTACATGCCTTTGCCTGCATTGTTGTAGGTCAGGATGGGAAGGGATAGAAAGCATGTTGCTAAATGGGCATTTGGGTTCTGCATGTTTCGTTAAACTGACTCAGCAGGACAAGAGACAAAGCTGAACAGCCTAGCACAACCCTTTGGGGGCTAACACTGGTTTCTGTTTGCTCCACAGTCATTGCAGTTGCAAGCGGGAAAGCCAGTCTGCTCAGATAGTATTATCCATGTTGTGTTAACATATAAAATTTTAGAGTGTCCATTGGATAAGGCATGAGAGCACAACCATCTAAACATTTGGAGTTATACCCAGTTAAGTCACACTCAGAATATTCCCCCTGAAATTAATGATCCATAGGCCACATTCGCACCGTGTATTTAAAGCACTACAGTGACACTTTAAGCACTCGTGGCTTGCCCCAAAGAATTCTGGGAGCTGTAGTTTGTTAAGAATACTGAGAGTTGGTAGAAGACCTCCCACAGACCTAAAATTCCCAGATTTCCCCATGAAGAGGGACGACTGTAGAAATTGTAGCATTGGGAGGGGAATTGTGAGTCTCTCAGAACCACCTCATTCTCCTGCAGGAACACAACAGGCCTTTCTAGAAAATGCTCAAAATCTGGTAGCTAATTTCCAATTATTAAAATTAGAAGTTATTCCAGAACCCATTTGTTCAGGGCTGCAATATCAACTGCTACATCTGATCAGATGCTGAACAATATTTTACATCACCTAATAACACTCATAATGACACACTTTTCAACGTCTACATATTCAAGCTAGCCCGGATATGTGAATTAACCCTTATAGTCTTGGGAAAGGGTAGATAAAAATATGTATGCAGATAGTGTGAGATTCCATTGGTTGGAATCAGATATATTTAATATGTTGCAACCTATCCCAATACCAAGAAACAGGATTTTCTTTTATTTTTCAGTTTCTGACGTAAATTCCTCCCAATTAGGAGTTCAGACAGTGAGTGCAGGCCCCATGGATGGATCAGTTCAAAGGGACTCAGAGCCAAAGGAATGGTTGGTGCTGCCAACTTTGACAGCACTGCAAGCAAGGATCTGGAAACCATGCAATCCAGTGTT